GAGATGAGGTCTCACCAAGTTGCCCAGGCAGGTCTCGAACCCGCGGGTTCAGGCAATCCACTCACCTCAGCCTCCCAAAGTCACAGGTAATTTACTTTTAAATAAACGTTACTTTCTTTGCCTTTTTGTGCTGTAAATCTTTATGTTACTCAGATCTCTGGTTACGGGTGCTGTGCCCCGTCTGGATCCTTCAAACCTAACAAGCAGGGACTTGGATTTACTCATTCATTTACTCGTCCATTTATTTAACAAGCGTCTGTGGCTTCTGTTCCAGATGTTTCTGAAGCACTGAGGACACAGATGCATAAACCACAGTTCCTCCTCTGGAAAAACCCAAACCCAGTGTAGAGGATAGACACATCTAGAAACAATTACAACCCTTAATTAAGGGCTACATCCACATATGTACAAGTCTACGTGTGAGCAGAGGGGAAGGGTAGACACATTGACCTGGGTCATGGGTGAAGAATGGGGGCTGTCAGATGGACAGCAGGGAAAGGCTTGCCAGGCAGAGGAGCACATACAGAGAAAGAGAAAAATATAACTGGGACCAGCTCATTGTACCACCTCCTGGCCAAGGAGGTGGATGCCCAGGGAAGAGGAAGATGAAGAGAGAGGAAGGCGCTGAACTCAGATTCAAAGGGCTATGAATGCCCATTTCCATTGTTTAGGGGCCATGGAAAGATGTTAGCAAGAGAGCATATGATTATCCTAACCTGAGAGAGGAAGGACAGGATGGACTGGCAAGGCAGGGGGACACAAGGTATTGAGCCAGGGTGGATAGAAGGAAAGGAAAAGCCGACAGAGAAGGGAGAGCAGTCTCAGGAGAAGTCAGGGCCTCATCAGTGCTTGAAATGAGGCCACGTGCTTATGATTTCATACAACGCCTTCCCAGGGGACAGGATGTTGACCACATCACTGTGGCCCAGCAGCAGATAATTGGGAGTCAGGTACCCCTCGACCACAGCACACTGGATCAGGTCCTGGGCTGCCTCCAGCGCTGCAGCATTTGGAGGTCTTTCTGCAAAAACACATTTTCCCCATCAATCATTCAGGTCTCAAGGTTTTTTTATTAAGAAAGGGACCAGCACCTAGATTCTAGTCTCCCTCTTCCCCTACCCCACCCCATTCCACCATCACCATAACCAACAAATTTACATCAATTGTGGCAATCAAGCACAAAAATAAAACAAGGTCATTGTGTTCCCTGATTCCTCCATACCAAAGTTTCATCCAGAAAGTTGAAAACTGCTCTGGAAGAGAACTGCGGCAGAGCACACCCCTTCTGAGCAAGTAGAAAGCAGATACAGCACCAGTGGATGGTCCACTGGTTTTCCATAACAGGCATTGATGCTCACCGACATTGTTGCCATGGTTACCAAGAAAAAGGATGGATTTGTCCATTAAGCTATAAAGGCACCAACATTTGCAAAAGATTTTTTTTCTTCTTACTCCTTGCTTGCCTTGTATATAAAATAAGACAGAACTGGGCATGAGAGTGGTTAGATTTGCAGTTAAGTGCTCTGTCTGAAAGGGGATTCTGGTGGCATCCTGTACAGAGAATCCATTTTAAAGCTAAAATGTGCCAGTCCCACTGCCAGTCACCACTATGGAGGTCTTTCCCTCCATGCTTCCCAGATATGCCACATGACACTTTACCCAGAACGCCTCTGCCCCATGTTCATCCCTTACCTACAAAGTAGCCCATGAAGGCAATTCCGAGGGCAATATCATTGAATCCGTAGGTGTGGGAGCCTTGGCTATGCCAGCCAACACCTTCATACACACCACCATCCTGGCCCACCAGGAAGCTAGGATTGAGCAAAGGAAAATGAAGAAGGTCACTCCGAGAAGCAGAATTTGCTTCATTCACTCCTTCAATCATTCATTCTTTCACCCATCTGGCAGATATTGACTGATGTCTCTTATGTACCAATGTGCACAGAGGCAAAAACCCCAAAAAACACCATAATCCACTGCAGCATGACCTTTGTTCCCATCACTCCACTGAACCTGACTCCTCCAAGGTGACGGGTGGCCTCCTTGATACTAATTACAATGCACATTTATTTTACTTCTGGACTACATTGACTGTGTTGACCACTGTCTTCTTGCCATGTTCTCTTCCCTGGGCTTCTGCAATCCACACCCTCCTGACTCTCCTTTGCTGCTCCTTCAGGCCCCTTTGCCGTCCCCTCTTCCTTTCCTCAAGTGTGGTGTTCCTCCAGATTCTGGTCTAGCCCCTCCTCTCACTCGACATATCCACCCTGGACCATCAGCCATTCCACAGCTTCAATTACTATCTATAACAATCAACATGTCCAAACAAGCCCTTCTTCTTCTGTGATTTATCTAGCTAGAAAATGAGCATCACCCTGAATGCCTCCCTCTCTCTCTCTTAGCCACTCCAATCATTAATTATGGCATGTCTGTGGTCTCCTACATGGCTTTTCAATTCCTCCACTTTTCTCTATGCCAATGGCCCTGTTCCAAGTCACTGGATTACTTCAATAACTCCCTGCAGAGTTTTGCCTCCTTCTAATCCATTATTAGAGTAGTACCCAGAGTGATTTTTCTAAAATGCAAATTCTATCATTACAGGGCATGATTTCCAAATAGTCTCTAGTTGCCTTTCAGAGTTGGTCTCTGGGGGTCAATTACGAAGCCCTCTACGATGTGGCTCCCATAGGCCTCTCCAGCCTTAGCTCTCACCACTGCTCTCTGAAATCTATTTTTAGGTTTGAGTTAAACTTCTTTCAGTTCCTCAGTGACAAGTGAGGACCTAGGGCCCTGGCAAATACTGTTTCCCTTCACCAGAATACTCCTCCTCCCCCTCTGCCTGACTGATCTCCATTCCCTATCTGTGTCCCAAAGTGATGCCCCTCCCTCTGAAAGCCCTTCCCTGATACCAATCACTCCTCCAAAACCATGATTAAAGGCTCATCCTATGTGTATCCTGTTTTGTTCCATCAGAACAAACACTTTGAAATGCAATTACTTATTTACTCTTTCCCTTTCTCTCTTATCTATCTGTGAAAGTTGTCAGAATCAACATGGAGCCCCTATGTCAAACCCTAACAAAAACAAATAAAAAGCTGGGAGGCTGGGAAGGGAGACCCTGAGGCACAAATGCCTTTGATGAAAGCTAACACAGAGACTCTGAAGGGCTTTTATGCACATACACTTGTAACAAGAACTTTTGTCAAGGGCTTTCTAAACCTCAGCTTGCCACAGGAGTTGCAAGGACAGTTGACCAATGCACAAGAACACTTGCCTGATACCCTGTCTTCACTCATGAACTAGCGTCAACTCCTGCCTCCTGCTCTAAGTCCCTGAATCAATGTTTTATTTGGTTCCAAAAGAAAAAAAAATGTGTGTACTTCTACCCTTTGCCTGTAACAGCTTCCCCTTGCTTCAACCTCTTGGGATATTGCTGTGGTCCCCATAGCCTGCATATCCTGGATTTGCAAAATCCCTGTGCACTCTCAAGTAAACTCATTACCTTTGGAGAATATCCCTATTATTTTAGGTTGACATATCTTGCCTAGCACCAGGCATATAGTGGATATCCAATAAATATTGACCAAGAGTTAGAAAATCAGAAGGATACTTTAACAGGTTCTAAAAAGTCAAGGAACAGGGACCAAGTCTTTGAAAGACTGCACAAAAGAGGAAAACAAGCATTCCCTCAGCCTCTGACATTTTCCATTTGGAATTTCCAAATTTATATCTATTCCTAATTATCTATGTTAGATAATGAGAGCAAAACTACGGACACTCCTTCAAAGTGCAGCCAACTGTTTTCTCCTTTTTGCAAAGGCTGCTTTTAAAACAAGGATTAAAAGGAGAGACAGTTGGCCCAGAACAACACACTTGCAAAAGCACATCCACCTGAGACTTTGTAAGATTGGTTGTGATTAAGACACAGAAGAATAATTGAGATGTATTGCACGTTAGCTCTAAGTCCCTTTTGTGAAACTTCCAAGGCATTTTCCAAGTAACTTCTGCTACTCCATTCGTTTAATATGTTCCTTTATTATAGATCTGACATCAAAGGTACAAAAAGAGACTATTTCAATCTCACTCCCTGTTTTCAAACAGATAAAGTATTACTGTCTCTACTGTAGAAATGAGACAAGAGAGGCCTAGAGAGGTTAAAAGTTCCTACATCTATAACATGAGGTAAATAATTGTAGAGGAAGAGTGGTATTCTAACATGAGAGAGAGCAAGTTTGGAGTTGGGCCAGACTGAGATGGGGATGAGAGGGACCTCTGTCTCTGACTGGTTAGTTAGAAGGGATTGCAGAAAACAGATACAACCCTTTGACAGCCTTCCCTGAGGGTATCAGTCTTGCTTTATCACTAGGCTTCTAATGTCTTCTTTTCAGAGTCTTCTCAACCACTTGCGGAGAATACGCCCAAGAGGGGTGACTAATCCTCCACTATGCCCTGAATAATACTCAGTCCAGAATCTTGCAAAAATAAAATATGATGCCTTATATAAAGTACCTGGCACAAAGGAAGGGTTCAGTAAAAATCATTTCCCTCCCCCTACCCTTTCTTTCTACAACCCCGAAGAAAAAGATGATCATATTTCCCCGATCCCACTTACTGATATCCAATGTCACAAAAGTCCTGTGTGTCCATGTGATAGGACTGCAAGTTTCGGACGAGAGTCTGGCAGTCCGTAGATATATTGCAGGTTGTTCCAGCGGTGTGAATGATGATGACGTATTTGGCTGGAAGGTTCATTTTAGGGCAATGTGTCTCTCTGGCTTCCCAAGCAGATCGTGTGATGATGTTGGGGCAAACTGAGGCGAGGTGAAAAACCAAGAAAATGGGAATAAGTCTTTGCCCCCTTGGGAGCAATTTCTCAACTCCAGGCTGGATTACTCCTCAGTCTCTTTCTAGCCTTAAGCACCCTTGGGCACATCCTAGCATCCACTTGGCTGTAAGATTCTGGAAAAGTCTAGATGAGGACAGTCTAGGTAAGTGGTTGGAACCAAGGGGCAGGAGCAGAAATCCCCAGGTTTGATAGCCATAGAAATCAGAGTATAAGCAGAAAGGGGAGGACTGTTGGTCATCAAGGGCATGGTCAATGTCTTCCAATGACAAAGTATACCTACATGTTTACATATGCATTACAAATATATGCAGGTGTGTGTACTTATGTAACAGGATCAACAAGCAGAAGTCAGTCGACTCTCTGAACTGATTGCATGTACTTTGAAATAGTTTGAAACCTAAAAAGAGCTCTACTAATATGAAGGAATTATCATTTTTGAAGATGGTATCTATCCAAAAGGAAGAAAAATGTTATTCAGAGATTTATAATTTTAAACAATTAATTTTTTTTAAATATCAATGAGTCCAAGGAAAGGCCAACTCTAGCAGAGAGGGTTAGACTACTGAAAGTGCTTATTAATTTTACCGGTTTTAAATTGCTGCTTTTTCACTCCAAAACAAGGCATTATTTTTACTATTCATCTTCTTGAAATATCCACTCTGACATCAGCATAATCTTTGAACAAGTTAAAAAAAAAAACTCTAGCCAGGGTGCAAGTTGGCTGGCTTTTGCATTTAGAAAAGTATGTGTGTTTACATGTGTCTATGTGCCCTCACACAGTCTACACAAATATGTATATATGTTTACCTACACTCCATTCCTACCATTCCTTTCTCTCCACAGCCTCATCCCATCTAAATAACACACCTCTTACTTGTTCATTTGTTCATTTTCTGTCTTTCCTCACTGAAGCATAAGCTTCCTGGAGGTGGAGACTTTCATCTGTTTTGTTCACAGTCATATATTCATTACTGAGAAGAGTGTTTGCTTTTCAGTAAATATTTGTTAATTGGGTGAAAAGCGATGTACATACATATTTTTTCAAAAGAATGAGTCAATGGCTATATCGTTCTAGTGTGATGGAGAGGAGACCAGAAAAAATGCCCTCTCAAAATTTTCCAGATCTCAAAGGTATCATAAGCATGAGATGTCCTTGGTCCAAGACTCCAGTGAGAGCCCGATAGGGGAAAAAGCACTCCCAAATGTGGTTGGGTGGTGATGAGGATGAGGGTGACGTGGAATGGAAGCTCTTACCTTTCCTGGGCATTGCTGAATGTTGAGAGTCCAAGCACGTTTCTTCTTTCAGGAGAAGTGGCTGAATATACCTGGGTGACAGGTGACCCTTCTGGATGGCATAAGAGATCAGGCTCTCTGCAGCTGATAAGGCAGCAGGGCTGGGTCTGCTACCTTAAAGGGGATGACATGGAACACAGAACAATCAGTAAGAAACTCCAGGTGGACTAGACCCCTTGAGGGTGGATATAATATGACAACTTAAGCCTGAATAACTGGTGAATGAGAAGAAAAGAAACTGGTCCCGTATCCAGGACAGAGGGCCTAAGAACCAAGAAGCTGCCTATACAGGCTAGAAGCCTGCAAATTATGTCTCTCAGACTTCCTTGTCTGCTGACTTCGGTTCAGTTTCTACCAGTGGAAGACACTGGAAGAAGAGACAAGCCATGCTTTTCTGACTTGGCAGTAATAGCAGTTACTCCGGAAGTAACTGTGAGCTCAAGCAATTTCACAGGCTTCAGCAATATCACAGAAGTGCAGACCAGCAAAGAGGAAGAGGACACAAAGTATCCAAGGGAGAAAAGAAGTTCAAGAGAAGGGCAGACATCAGAGAAGATAAATGTGCCTGAAAAGACAAAAGTGTTGAAATCAGGGATTGGAGGTAAAGTGTAGATGACTTTCTGGTAAAGGGTCAGCAGGGAGTGATCCTTACCTATCTTTTTTTTTTTTTTTTGAGTTGGAGTCTCACTCTTGTCACCCAGGCTGTAGTGGCACACTCACAGCCACCGCAGCCTCGACCTGCTGGGCTTAGGTGATCTTTCCACCTCAGCCTCCCTTACCTATCTTGCTGCCAAAGAAGGCGATGCCCAGGGAGATGCTGTTGTAGCCCTGGGCGTGCAAGCCTTGGATGCTCCAGCCAACACCTTCATACACCTTGCCATCATCCCCAACCAGGAAGCTGTCAAGCAAAGAAATAGGGGTTTATTTTTATTTTTATTTTATTTTTATTATTATTTTTTTTTTTTGAGTTGGAGTCTCACTCTGTCACGAAACAGGGGTTTAATTGCAAATCCTCACAACAGAAAACCTCTCAGTGATCCTCAAAACAAAAAAAAAAAAAGTAGTTTTAGAGGTTCATAAAAAAATATTGTGTTTCAATAACAACAATGGGGGCAGAATAATCAATTTTAGGCCTTCAAGAGATGTGGGAAAAATACTTTAGTTTTCACTGTGACGTAGCTTGCATGTGTTTTCCAGAGGCTCTTTTTAAATATACTCATTTGGTTAAAAGTAAAATCCCAATGTGTGACTCTCAAGGACATGGGGACATTAAACAATGTTCAAGTGCTTGAGAATTAATTCAACATGTTTTTAAGTTACAGGACCAAGCACTTGAACATTCTTTAAAATGATTACCCAACATTCAGGAATTCCTTTGTATTGACTTTTTCTTCAGTTTATCCTTAGGAATTCCCTTAAGTTTGTCTTTATCACATAAATTTGTCTAGAATGTTGCTTTTGTACAGTTTTTGTTTTTGTTTTTGTTTTGAGTTGGAGTCTCACTCTGTTGCCCACACTGGAGTACAATGACACGCTCATGGCCACTCCAGTATCAACCTGCTGGGCTCTAGTGAAACTTCTGCCTCAGCCTTCCAAGTAGCTGAAACTACAGGCATGCCTTATCACACCCGGCTAATTTTTTATTTATTGTGGAGACAAGGTCTCGCCAAGTTGCCCAGGCTGGCCTCGAACCCATGGGCTCAGGCAATCCACTTACCTCGGCCTCCCAAAGTGCGGGGATTGCAGGCTGAGCCACCGAGTCCAGTTCTGTACAGTTTATTTTTTAAATCAAATGTGTGTGTGTGTGTGTGTGTGTGTGTATTATTTTAGTCTACCCCTTTTTTTCTGCCTCTTTATAATTTCTCACCCTCCACTTTCCAATCAGAGTCTGTAGACTTGATGTTTTTACAACTCTTGCCATATTCCGCTTTTAATAGACCGTAGGTTTCTACAGTAAACTGAACACAGAAAGAACCCTGCCTTACAGCCAAGCAAAGACCCTGAATGAATCTAGCTGGCTTTCCATGCTGCACTGGCATCAGCCTAAGGAGCAGGTGTGGAGCCCAAGGATGTCCACCACCTTCCTGGCTTTGCTGCCAGTACTTTCAACAGGTTCCTCAATCACTCCTACCTCTGCCTTTGGTTAATCCAGCATGAACAGTCCTACATGGCTGTAATCATCTGCACTATAAAGATTGGAGCCTGTTGTCACTGCAGAAACCTGACTTAGAGGTGTAGTGGCTGAAATAACTTGGAAGTGCCATGATGGAAGCAGGCAACAAAGCAGTGACAGCAGGTGGAGGTGCTAGTGGCAGGGACAGCAAGGGGCTTATATCTGATACAGCATCCCCAGCGGGTAGGCAGGGAGACGCAGTCATCCTAGGAGCCCTGGGGACCACAGCCAAGGCTGCTGACTGCTCTTACTTATGTTTAAACAAGAAATAAGAAGACATAGATTATCTTTTCCAAAATAGATCATTCAAAACCATTTATATCATCTCAGAATTCCATGGGGAAAGCCCCATTCCCATTCTAATTCTCTCTCTCTCCTTCTGTATATATCTTCTCACTCTTCAGGCTGGGCGAGAAAAGGCTCTTGGCCTCCACTGATAATCCCATGAGTAGACACTCAGTGTGCAGTGCAAGGATGGTTTGTGCCTCATACTTGTTTTAACACAGGGCTCTCCTCCCACCATTCCCAATGCCCGCTCTTCCCTGTGGGATTCTGGCCTCCTCATTAGAAAAGCCCTCCAAGGTCATTAGTGGAAAACAGTTCCCAGAGTACAAGCCTGCTCTGTGTGGGAAGAGGCTCAAGGGCTGCAGGAACAGGCAGTCTTGACACAATTCTGAGTGCTCACTTTCTGGCTGTGTGACTTTGAGCAAATCTGTCCATTCTCCCTAGACCATGGTGTTTTCACCTGTGAAATAAGCATGGTAATATTTCCCCTACCCATTCCTCAGAGTAGCAGGGAGGGCCTAGTTGGGTGACATCTGTGAACACCTCTGCAAACTGTCATGTTTGGTGAGTTCTAAGGGATGACTGCAATTGTTACACAACCTTCTTTGTTTCCTCACAGGAGCACCCAGTGTTCAAAGTCCACTTAAATAAATAGCCCAGCATTATCCCCCCCAATGATCCCCAGAGGACCTGGATTTTGTCTGAATTATTTTAAAATATGTTTTACTCATTAGAAAAGTAACATACATGAAGTCCAGAAAATAAGAGAAAATGAGAAGCATACTAGGAGGAGGTAGGCTTCAGGAACCCAGTCTGCCTCTTACTTGTAGGCCACGTCACACAAGCCTGCAGTGTAGACAGAATGAGACTGTAGGTCCCTCAGCATCTGGCTGCAAATGCTCTGCTCCTGGCACTCCATCCCCGTGAGCTGGTCCATGATGACGTAGGCCACAGGCGAAGTCAGCAAAGCGCTGCAGGTGAGTGGTCTTGCCCCCCACTCCTTGCGGGAGACAATGGTGGGTGCACCTGCAGAGGAGACCATAGGATAGCAACTCAGCAGGCCCCACACACCACCTCTCTGCCATGCACACAGGCCACCCATGCCACCCTGACCCCTCATGCCAGGGCTCTGTCCACCCTGCAATGGGAGATGTCTTGAAGGAGCCCTTCACCACAGCTCTCTGCTCCACTCCACAGCCCTGAACAACCACCCAGATATACGTTTCACTCAGCCTAGGGAGTCACACCGCCTTGTTCCCAGACAATCTCTTCCTGCATCTTCCTGGAGGATCAACCTCATCCCCAACTCCTTCCTGTCCTGCTTCATGCTCCTGACTTCAGAAAGCATCCCCAGCAACACCCCACACATAGCTCCAGGGTCCTGAGCTGCCCTCTTTTGAAGCACCTTAGCATCGGCACTGTAGGATGCATTTTCCTCACTGGCATCATCTGCCCCTGGTCTCAACTGTGTTTTTCATCTTGTCCTCCCATCATAACCGTGCTCTCTGGAGGAAGCCCTGTCAGTCTCCTCAAATAGGGGCTCCAGAGTCCACAGGAAGTTCTGTGAACATAGGGTGTACGTCTCTCTCTTCTGGATGAAAACTCACTTGGAGCAAGGTTGTGAGATCCCACACAGGGCTACAAGCTGCCTGGGGGCTCCCTCTTTCTATCCTCATCTTGGGAATCTTTGGGAGTTCACTAAAGGATAGGATGTCTTCACTCTCGCGCTGGAGATGGGGAATAGGGGGTATATCCTTTCTCAGTGGGCTTTCTTTTTTTTCTCTCCCTAGGCTAAGGATCCCATCTTGACCTAATGACTCAGGACCATCCGTGGGAGTAGTTGGCAGACAAAACTATTGGAATTCCACCCCACCCTATTCACTCTCAACCCAGATATAATCAAGTCCTGAGAAACATTTCCAACTAGCTAGGAAACCCCAGCAAATCCCCAAACTGCCTCACCATTGAGACCCTTGTCGATGAGCTGTGAGATGCCTACAAACAGGTCCATAAGCCTCTCGGAGAAGCCTCTAGCTTGGGTTTCATTCCAGGAGAATTGTGGATAGTCCCCTGCAAAGGAGCATCGGGGCTGGTCCTTGGAGTACAGCTGGCCAGCATGCCCTCCCCACAGTCCACAGCCTCTCAGCCTCTCCAGGTCCCCTAAAGTCCTCTAAGAAGCACACAGAGGAGAACCAGAGAGATCTCTGGCCTCAGCCTATATCTTCCTCCCACATCTGCCTCAAAGAGACCTTCATCCTCCCCATCTCCTCTAATACTCCCTCCATTCCAGAAGTACTGCAGTCTCGTCTACTGCCTTATCTGGGCAGTATTGCCTTTCCTGGTTGGCCTGCCAACCTATTAATAGATCCATGGGTACCCATCAGAGTGTCCCATACCAGATGGTTATCATTATTTTGAACTAACACTTACATATGTATGAAGCACCTACTGGGGCCAGGCAAGGTTCTTGAAACCGAAATACACAGATCAGTGTGGCTACTCTAAAAAACTAGACATCTTAGAGAGGTTTTATTGAGGAATAGTAATCACCAGCATGTTCTCATGCCCCGCTGCTGCCGTTTAGGACCAAGGGCAGCAGGAACACTGTCACCAACGCCCTGCACCCCAGTCCCTACTCCACAGGCCAGCACTGTGATTTACAAAACACATTTTAGGACACTATCTGAATTGTGGCTTAAAATAACCCTATGAGATTAGCAAATAAGCTACTCCCTCTATAAAGATAGGAAACTGATGCTCAGAGAGGTTAAGTTACTTGTCTAACACGACACAGATTTTAAGCAGTGGACTTAGATTCCATCCAGACTCTCTGACCCCAGAGCCTTTGTTCATAACCACCAGACTCTGCAGCCTCCTCAGAGTTGTCAGGTGAACCTGGGCAAGTCCCTGCCACAGTGTGACCTGTTTCTCTGTCTAGAAGAAAAAGTCACTGAGGCTCTCCATCACAGCTCTGGGATTCTGCCCTTCAATGTAATCAAGAACAAATACCTAACCAGGACATTGAGGCCAAGGTATGCTGGAGAGACTGCTGAGGATGGGAATTTGCCTCAGTAGGGGAGGGGGCCTGAGCTGGGTTGTGAAGGGGAAGCATGGGGCTGGGGAGGAGGAATGATGAACCTGGAGAGGATGACTTACACAGGAAACCCACAGGACTTTCAGAGTGGAAGAACAGGCATCAGCCAGAGCCAGCACTGACTGAGCAGAACAGGTACAGAGCAGGAACCAGGAGACCAGGGTGATGGCCCAACACAACTCACTGCCTCATTTGTACCTCATTTGCCCATTTATAAAATAAAAGGGACTTCTGGCAAGGTGGCAACAGAACAGGTTAGACTGTGAGAGTCTCCGCAGAAGCAAGTGTCCATAAAGACTCTCTGCATGAGTAGGTGTGTGCCGGTGGGTGAGTGAAAGTCCATGCAAGGGGAGACTCTGGTTCATGCACCTGGGGCTGTCCTCTGGTGGTGACTGCAACCCCCCACCACCCTGAGATTGGAGCCACCAGCCTGCAAGATCGTCTGCTGTTCCTGGGGATCTCCTGAGAAAAGCCTGCCAAATACAGCTAATCCTCATCACCTGGAGCCCGGCCCACACCATCACCTATGACAGCAAAGCGGCTGGAGCTCCGGATCCGTGGAGAGAGAAGATCGGGGAGAGCTGGAGAGGAGCCCCACCACCGGTAAGGAAACACGGACCGGAGCCATTTTCTCTGTCCCAGAACCAGGTAGAGACCAGCATTGCCCTGCCCAGCTCTAGCCAGCTTCCAACTTGAGACCTAGAGGTAATCTCATCAAACTCAAAGAGACAGACGCCTCTCCCCCAGGCTAGATCAGACACAGACACGTCAGATTTGAGTGAGAGACTTGACAGGCAGCAAACCTGGTGAGTCCAGATCTGATCTACCCTTCTCCCACAGTAGTCCCTGGGGCATCTGACCCACACTGAGAGCAACCCTATCAGCCTGCGCTGAGAAAAGAGGGAAGGGGCTGGAGACCAGAGCTGTAAGGAAGTTGGACTTACATGAACAACCTCAGAGTGAGTTTTGTTTCTTTTTTTGTTTGTTTGTCTATTTGTTTTGCTCACTTCGTTTGTTTTTTGCTTTCATTTTTTTCTCTTTCTGTTTTTGATTTTCGTACATGCTTTGTTTCTGTTATGTTATTGCTCTTTTTTTAGACTTCCTGTTTGTGTATAGGTATTTTTGAGGGAGAGTACATCAATAAGGGTTTTTTGTTGTTGTTGGTTTGTGTGTTTATATGATTATCTGCATTTTTTTTTACCTTTTCTGTCCTTGTTTGTGTCTCTTTTCATTTGTGAGTTGGTACACCTGTCTGTTTTCCCTCCTCTTCTTCTCTCTCTCCACCTTCCTCTCCTCCCCCTTCTTCCTTTTTTCATTCTTTTCCTTTTTCTTACTTCATTTTGCTTTCAGGGGTCAAACTCATACTCCCACAGCATGGACAGATTGTCAGGCAGTGGGAAGTGGGTTCCAGGGGGCCCACACACCAGTCAGCAGATATGGAGATCTGCAGATAGTTTCTGAATCACAGCTTCCCCCTCAATTAAATCTCTGCAAAAAGTACAGCCCCCCCCCACTCACAGTCCAGCTCCAGAATTGAACAAAGCCAGGGAAACCACATAAGGAAGAATAGGAGATTGAGCAAACAGAAGTAAAAGCTACCCTCCCCCCATCCCTGAACAACAGAACTAAAGAAGAGGTAAAAAAAACGGGGCAGGGGGGAATCTACACAAATGAAGAAAAAGTAAAGGAAGAATATAGGACTCACACAGACCCCTGGGAGGTCAGCCACTGTGAATACAGACTTCAGAATGCAAACAATTAAGAGCCTCCAGAATGACTGGTCTCAAACCCTTAAATAAAAGGTTGAACTATGTGCTGCCTGATCTGTGAGTTTCTCTCACACTAACTCCAAGTATTCCCATCAAATCATCTGTGATGGCAGAGAGAGAGAGAACTTCATCATATTATTCCTTCAGAACAATGTCTATGCACATAAGACAACATGAAAAAAGTGTCATATGTAAGGATCACCAAACCTACTTCCATTTTAATTAAACAGCATTTATTTATTAAACATTTGCTATGTGTTTAATCCTATGTATTTATAAGAAATCTTTTTAATGTAGAAAGGAGCATTGTTACTCTTGAGGAATTTGCTTTTATTTACAAGTGTAGACCCAAGTGCTGTGCTTAACTATGATTTGTATAATAATGATGGTGATAATGATTAAATCATAGCTACAAATTGCCTAGCACTTATGACTTGAGTATTGTGCTAAATGGCTCATATTTGTTATCTAATTTAATCCTCAAAAACAGCCCTAAGAAATGAGCAATACTATCCCTATTTCATAGAAGCAAAGAAGACTCAGAGAAATTGAATAACTTGTTGAGGATAAGACAAAAGTCAGGCAAGGATTTGAACAGAGATCTGTAAACTCCAGAACAGAGCCCAAATTGCAGAGCTACACTACCCTCTATTAGTGGAAAGCACTGGGTAGGTTTCCACTATCAACTTAAAAACAGTCATCTATTGCTCACTAAAGGTCATTCAAATACAATGAAAGAAAACTTACTCCTGGCTTGGAGACCCAGAGCAGAGAAGACAAGAAGCCATGGCAGCATCCTCACGTGGTCCCAGGACTCCAACAGGAAGTGTGTGAAGGCAGACCTGGAAGAGACACTGACCATTACTAACATGACCATGCTCACTCTGCAAAGAAAGCACCCCCACTCAGACCACATGGGGCCCCATCTGCCTCCCACCATCCTGTGGCCTGAGGGTCAGCACCTGTCTCAGGCTTCTCAGAATCCCCTGCACAAATCAGGTGCTCAATAAATGTGAGAATGCTAATGCTTGTGTCTAGCCACCCCACCCACCTCCTATTATCCCAGGGAACTCTTGGTCCCTCATAGGAGCTTAATGACCAATCTCAAGCCTTCCAAAATAGATATTAACAATTTCTAAAATCCTCAAGTAGCTGCTATGAAAAAACTCTGTGCCGATATTTTCACATTTAGTGCTGCAATTTTATATTTAATCCTTACAAAATTCCTGTAAGACAAGTATTCTGAATCCCACTCTTTTAAATGAGATGTGTCTTTTAACTGTTGCACGTTATGTAAGAAGTTTTTATACTGGTTGCATATTGTTTGAGATGTGTCTGTCAGTGTTACTCGTTGTAAAAGTGTTAGACTGGGTACACGTTGTATGAGATGTGTCTGTCATTTTTGCATGTTATAATAAATGTTTACACTGGATACATGTTGTATGAGATGTGTCTTTGTTTATACTAGGTGCTTATTGCATGAGATGTGTCTGTCACTGTTGTATGTTGTATAGGATGTGTTTATACTGGGTACAAGTTGTATGAGATGTGTCTTTCACTACTACACATTTATAAGAGGTGTTTATACTGGGTGCATGGTGTATGAAATGTGTCTGTCACTGTTGAACCTTGCAGACGGAGTGAAACTCATTTTTATGGATAGAAACACTGAGGCTCATATGGAAGGAACTACAAATAGAGGTGGGCTTGAGCTTCAACCTCTGCACTACTGAGAGTCAGTATATAAAGTCATTCAATCAGTTGCCCATTCTGTAAAGATCCCTGGTAGATGCTCAACTAACCACTTCTTGGGTGATAATAATAATAACAACCGGTACCATTTACATTCTGTGTGCCAGATATGTGCTGAGGACTCTGCAGACGTTTCACTAAGTAGTCGCACAGTGACCTGTGAGACTCACACTCATCATCAGGAAAGTGGGTCTCAGAGAGTATATAAGTCCCTCATCCAAAGTTCCCCAGTAGTAGGGGTGGAATGAGATTCATACCCAGGTCAGTTTGAATCCAGAGCCCATGCCCGAAATTTTACAGTCGGCCTAAATTTCTGATGACGGAGAGTCTCAACATGGACCAAGGAGGTTAAACTATAGGAATATGGTGATTCTTTCCTGCTCCAAGCATCCTTTCTGCTCATTTAGGCAGGAATGAATTGCTTACTCATGCTCAATCAAAATGAAATATCACTCCTTGAGCTGCCAACCAAAACATCAACTTTTCTCCCCAGCTATCCTACTGAGAAACCATAGAGGGAGGTTTTAGATCAAATGAGATAGCGCATTGTCTTCCAGAGCTTTTATGCTACAATCAGTAGTCCCCAGATAGAAAATGTTTAAAACCACAGCTTAAGACTAGAGCATATAGAAGCTTCTTGGTCAGAACAAGCAACCACTTAGCAGATAACACCCAGGATTCCATTCATTCAGGAAAACTGTGCACTAAAGACAAAAAATGAGCTCATTGCAAATAAAGCAGGCACCTAATAAATATGCGGGAAATTTTTCAGTCTCTCTACTCAGCCAAATGAGAGGTAAGGATTAGCTTGCTCAAGACTGTAGACCTGTGAGCTGGCCTACCAGAAAAGGAAGGAGCCGGCCTCCTGCAAAGCAACTGGGAGCCACTATCAGTCCTGGCCAACAGGACACTTAGTCATGGAGCTTCCTCAACTATGAATGTCTACATGACAAATCCTGCTCCAAGCTTGTTACATATACCTAAAGTGTCAAGTCTTGAGCCCAGCCCCTGACCTAGCCAGATGCAAAATTGATAGTGTCAGCTACCTCACCTTGAACTGCAAACAATGAGCTAGTAGGATAGATGAGAGTCAAGGTTTTGCTACCTGGGCTCACATTGCTGTGCATACTGTATACTTAAAGAAATATTAGAGCAGGAGACAAGTGAGACAATAGATAGGAATTCACAGCTTGATGGAAAGGGAAGAAATTGGACAGTGGTAATCCCAGAACCCACAGCTTTGCCAAGACAGTTGCAGGAGTGTAGAACCAAACTCAGAAGAATTCAGAATAGAGAAAGTTTTCTAATCTGGAGGAACAGTCCAAGAGGGGAGATGGGGGAGCTTTCTCCACCATGTATACATTTGAACCTGATACGGTCCAGTCCCTTTGCTGCGAGAGGACTTCTGAAAAAGAAACACATTCACACTCAGAGATACCTGTGTGTCCTGTGCTGTCCCAGCCCAGCAGGTCAGGGTGCAGCGAGTTCACTCCTCATTGGCCAGCAGCTCTTCCCCTTCCAGACTTGGCCTCCAGGCCCCGCCCTCCTTCTCCAGCCAGTGCCTCCTCCTCCTCCGCGCCTTCACGCTCCCTGGCCCTAGAGGGCACTCTCTGCCTGGGAATGGAGTACTTGGGCTCTGGCTTCCCAGGGAGAAGGGGAGAGCCCGAGATCCCCAAGAAAAGATGGAGGAGAAGAAGAAGACAGAGGACTGAGGCTCCAAGCTGGCTCTGTCCACAGCACCAAGAGAAACTCTGGTGAGACCAGACCTAGGCTAGAAGCACCCGGGGACCCGCCCTGTGAATAAGCCCAGATACCTCCTCCCTGGGAAAGAGCATGATTACCCAATACCCCCTAAGTGCCTTCCTCATCTCCAGTAAGCCTAGCAAACTGGGGAAGCCTGGGAACCTGGGGTACTGTGTGCCTGGCACCTGGGAACTTCCTGCCGGTGAAGATCTGTCCAGGACTCTGAAGGCTGTGGATTGAGGTCACCGGGACCCCCGCCCTGCCCGCTTCCATCGGGGCCACCGGCAGAAGCAGGGCGGAGGGAGAGAAGTGGAAAGGCTAATTCCCAGGAGGCAGCTAGCAATGTGTCATCATCAAAACTTATTCTAACCATGTAGCCATAATACCCATTTATCCACTACCTCAACATCAAACAGCTTCTCCTAAACAAACCAAAGCTCTCTGCCTCCTCACCCACTTCTGACAGTGGCCCTCAGTCCTTGGCTCTGTCTCCCAGAATCCCTGTACCTGCCCTGAAGAAGTTTATACATAAGACTTTCCAGCAAGGCTTTGCCAAGTGTACCCAAGTTGCAGCCCCTTGAAGTGGGAATGCTCAGACCCCGAGGTCCTGAAAAGCAACCTGCCCTCTTGCAAGAACACTTGAATAGCCACTATGTTCTCCATACTGATTCTCCCAGATCACACTTCAAGAACAAGGACTGGGATGATCTCTTCTAGAACCTGGAACCTGGTTGCCTGTCATCGTCTGAGGGAGACATGCCTAGTGAGCTCCGTCCTCCACAGGGATGGGAGATCTTGGGCAAAGGCCTCAGAGAGAGACATCTAGCAAGTAGATCAGGAATTACAGTTGAGGATTGTGACACACTCTCTTAAGAGTTTTTCGAAACCTCGGCAATATCCTCATGCTGAACCTTATTTGTGATTCTGGATGTTTTGCCACCATGTTTACTTCAATCCTTAAGATGAGAATAGTTTGTGAGTTCGTTGTTTGAACAGCAAGTTAAAGAGAACTGAGGAGACTGTCTCACTCTGAAGGCCAGACTTGGAAGAGAAGAAATCTGGGTAATAAAGGGAGTGATGGCAGCCCCAAAAGGGAAAGGAAAATAGGTAAAGTCCTACAGTCCCAAGATTGAAGGACCCCAGGGACTAACAGGTAGAAAATCTTAGGCAAGGCCTCTGCTAGCCCACGTGGTATTTTGATACGAACTCGAAAAGATGTTCCTTCCACAGGTAAAAGTTGTAGTCAATATGCTATTTCTCTCTCAATGAAAAAAAAATGATAAACAGTCTATTTGAATACATTATATAAATCAAATTATGAAACATAAAATGGCATTTTGAATTTTTAATCACAATAATTAGGAGCTCAAAGTCTCTGAGATATAACAACATGCTATTTAATTGCCTTGTTTTTTTTAAGAGAGAGAGAGAGATGCTCTCCTGCTTGGCAAAGTAACCTGCCATGTTGTGAGAAGGTGTATGAAGGGGGTCCCCAGGACTAAGAGCTGAGGGTAATTAAAGGCCAGCACCGAGCAAACCTCCAGATGAGAACACAGCCCTGCTGACCTTGACTTAGTCCTGTGAGAACTTGAGCAGAGGACCCACAATAGCCATGCTCAGATTTATGACCCATGTAAACTATGAACTAATAGATGAATGCTGCTTTAAGCCACTAAGTTTATGGTAGCTTATTATGCCGCAACAGAAAATGAATATAGTATCTAAAATAATCAGGCAGTCTCCTGGCCACGTAGGAGCATGTCAGCAGCTTAGAATAGAATCTTCCCAAGTATCTTCCTCACAACCACTCAAAGGTACAAGGATAATTAGCTTTCTTGAAATTCTGTGCCTTCAGCACAATTAAAAGATGGAAAAATTCCAGCTTTAGCTACACAAGGCGAACAAGCTTGGGAGAGCCATAGAACAGCACAGTGATGACAGTTAATACTAATGCATTGTATACTTGAAAATTACCAAGAAAGTAACTCTTAAGTGTTTTCACCACAGAAAAATAAGCATGTGAGGTCGTAGATGTGTTAGTTAGCTTGATTTAACCATTTCATGGTGTATGTGTATGTCAAAACATCACATTGCACACTTATATCTGCATAACTTAAGAAGACTAAAAATTCACAAACTCCTAATTACATGAAAGTAAGTTCTTGGGAAGGGAAGAGCAAACTACTCAGAAAACTAATACTGGAGCCATAATAGTGAATGGTGAGGTGGGGTCATGGCCGGTGCTGTGGGAAAATCTGAGAATGGAAAAAAGAGATCATTGATAGTAGAATGTGAAAAAGCAGCAGGTATTCATCACCAAAATGCAAGGGACCCCCCTCAAATGGGAACTG